AGGAATTTAATTAAAATGGATTAATTGGGCGTGCATATATGTTAAAAGGAACTATGTGAAAATGGATTAAATCAAAAGGAGCCACAATACACGAAAGTCCTGTAATACTCGTAGTTACTTTTGATTTCATTTACTTTCACGTATGGGTCCTGTTAGCATAAATGCGTCCAATTCAGTGTTCGAAACTCACAGGCGCCAACGCGCCTAAAAAATCGGCCATGGCGCCTAAAAAATGAAGGCTCTGCGCCAACGTGGCCCCTAAAAATCTGGATTTTCATAGGAAGCCACATGAAAAAAGAAAAAGAAATCTTTGAATTGAAGAAACGCATAATTTTCAGCACAACAAGTGAAAGCTTTTTATATGTATTATTCACGATTTCATTCTTAGTGCTTTTGTCTTCCCCAAGTTACAACTACGTATCAGTTCTGTTACGAAAACATCTTGCGTCTAACTTTTCACTAAATGCGCCGTAATACATAAACAAAAAGTCAATTTGGCCCCTAAAAATTCTTCAATGGCGCCTAAAAATCGGGCTTCATGCGCCACATGGCCCCTGGAACTCAAAGGTGAGTTTCGAACACTGGTCTAATTGAATGTATGAATTAAATTACAATAGCCTACCTAAAAAATCTCATCTCACAAAGCTAGATGATAATAAATATCACATCATCTTCTGACTGAGGTTTCAAACTCTTGCTGATTGGGCGTGTTCTGTCCCAAGAACATTGTGTGAACGCATCTATGAGTTACTATATTGGAAGACGCCTAAAATATTGGCGGAGCATTTTTCAGTTTTTTAAACGTTTAATGTGGTACATTTACTGACCTACTGCTATACCTACGTGTCCGCATGATGCTGTATCACTCTCGGTGTCGAAAAAAGAGTCAAGTTTTGGTTGAACACCTATCCGTGTTCATGAATACGAACAAGAGTGATAAGCTAAAAAAGCATAGCGGTAACGGAATTTGTATCACCTGAAATTGAAGGCGGGTTTTATAACCGGATGTCATGCTGAGTTAAACGTTATGCCGTGCTTGTCACCATGATAGGTGCAAATACGATATATCATGCTTCTCTTTTGTAACTGTTTTTAGAGGATGTTTGAACTCAGTATAGTATAGTGGCACCTAAATATATACATACCCTATATATGTATATAGTATAACCGAGGCTCGTTGGACAAAAAATATGTTTCCGTTTCTGAATGCTAGACACGCTTAGTGATAAAGCGACCTGAATCCCTACAGTGTAGGTATTTGATAGGAAATCTTGTTCTTTTTGCACGTGACCTAGCACAAATTTGTATCTCCCTTACAAGGCAATTTTTGACGATAAGAGGGGCTGAAGGAGCCTTCATCCTGCGGAACATAACGGAATATTTCCAACAATAATTTCCTCAACAATGTTCCCCCCCCCCCCCCATTTTCTTTGAACAACGTCACTTAGGACCCAATCCAACTAAACAACAAATTTAATGACTTTATTTATTCAAAATGATTGCCGACTTTATTTATTATTTAGAAAACTAGGGCGAAGAGTATGTATTCCTATGTACGTGAATCCCGGAACCATCGCAGAATTTCCTGCTTCTCCGTTTTTGTTTGCATTTATACTCATAGGGCCGATTATTTTTGGTTTGTCCAGAAAATCTTTAGAAAACAAGCTTTTGGCATACGAGTATATATTCGTGAAATTATTCTTGAATATTTGTAATCTTTCTTCCCTGGTTCACGAGAAAGCATACTGGGTTTTGTCGCTCGTAATTCCTATTTCAAAAGTATGTCAGAGCACTTCTAAAAAAGATCAAAACACGTTTCTGTACACTTTATATTATAGTAAGTCCAAAATCTCCAATGCGTTATTACAATGACCCTTTCATAAATGGTGATATCATACCACTCACAAATGTAGCTTCAAATGACTTTTTCCGTAGCACTGACTTTCTTCAAACGCTATACCGTAGGGACGCGTATAAAGGGGATAAAGCCTCACCGAGGATAATTTGAAAGCCGGCGAATCCGTGAATGAATTTCTTTCTAACACTCAAACGCCTCACTTTTTCTATATTGCATTGCACACAGTAGGTCAGGTCAATCGGAGAGGTCGGACATGCAATTTTGGTCTGTAACTACAAATTTTGATGTTCATTTCGTCATATTTAATATTTTGAAGCATGCTTCTAGAGGAAAATTTCACGAGAAAACAAATAAAATCACATTTAGAACCTCAAAGTGTTACATAAATGGAGTTAAAAGCTTTTAAAGTTTCCAAATTTTGTCTCCTATTGAATCGATTCACTGTGCTGCGGTTGAAACTGACGAGGGCAAATCCTAAGAAAAAACGGAAAATAGCTTTTTAAAGCGGCTCTTGCCGCAGAGATTAGAGTTTGCGCAAGGTCTCCAATAGTGATGCATTAAGACCACGAAGCACAATTGTAAAAAGTTATCTAATAGTTATCTAATAATGTTAGGTACAGTACACTCTGGATTATCCTGGTTCAAACGCAGTGCAGTCGGTTAGTTAGCCTAAAACGCACATTAGCGGCTACAAGACTGCATATGAATACTTCACGCATTGCGCGAATTAATCGTTGTATTGTAATTTATCGTTGTCGGCTACCATTCACAATCACCATTGAGTCGTTCAGTTTGGCGTTAACCTTTTAAATTCGCGTTGGTATGTGCATGATGTTTATACATAATAAGAATACTGTGGTGTTGGTTGGTGGTGTTTGTGTTTACTATTATTATCCGGATTTCTTTTTCATCCGGATCGGGCCCTGCACCAATTAATCCGGATAATCCAGAGTCTACTGTAGTCTAATTTCATCTGATAATTTTAGGAGAGTGTTCGGTCATGGAGTGGCAAAGAAAAGATTAAACGATTACTCTTGAGATATTTCTTTTAAATATACATGATAAAATTCAGTTTACATTTAATTTATTTATGTAGTTCATTCATCACATATTTTTAATGAAGAGGAATTAGTGCCTAACAATTTATTTTAGGATGACGCGAGAAGTTTCTACGATGAATACACTCCTGCTCTAGCAAGACCTTGTCACCTCCGATTCCATAACAAATCACATGGAATCTCCTTGCAAATCCCACAAAACTCATCCTCTGTTCACAGATGACTTTTATATGACAACTCAAACTCTTCAATTTCCCCCTACAAAATTAAGGTACGGATCTAGGTTCACTCACTACAATCCAACAAAAAACGAAATTAACAGCCATTGAAGCTACAAATGTTTGTCCATCGGAAAAGAGACAAGTAGGCAAGATATATTATACAGCGATTTGTGCTGGATTGAGTTGAAATGTGAATTTTGCGATATTTACGGAAAAATCTCTCTGTTGTCATAATTCATACGTGAGACCTACCGGACCGATTTTCATGTTTTTTTTTTGACTGTGGACGGGCGTCAGCAAATAAATTATGAGCCACTCCCTTCAACTTTCAAAGTATGACCAAAAGGGTGCAAAGCGAATCTTTAATTTTGGCTGCGTACACGGAGAAAAAAACTTAGTGCATGGGATCTGGAGTTGAGGTCATATGGATCTCTGAAGTTTTCGGATCACGCATCGAAAAACTTGATGTTTAACTGCCGAAGTTCGGGTCGGACATCTAAAGTACTTAGGTATGTACCAGATACTTCAGATGTGTGACCCGAACCCTTCGGTGTGTACCTAAGTACTTCAAATGTCTGACCCGAAATTCGGCAGTTGGATCTCAAGTTTTCGGATGCGAGATCCGAAAACTTTAGAGATCCATGTGACCTTAACTTCGGGTCCCATGCACGAAGTTTTTTTCTCCGTGTAGTGGTCAAGGGACAAACCTAAAATATATATATCAGCTAGTATACACTCCAGTATATACATAAGGGGTTCGGAGGACAAGGCGCATAAGTGCAGTTTTTGCTATTTCAAGAAAAATCGTGTTTAAAGTTTCACAATTACGTGAAGCCTCGTGGCAGAAAGGAAGTTTAAACTCACTTTTTGATGCTGTGAAGTTGGATTTTAGTCGTGAATTTTATCAGATTATTCTTTCAATTTGGTTGTCGTTGAGTTTATGAATGTCTCAATTTTCTCAAAAACCGCACTAATGCGCACTGTCCTCCAAGCCCCTCATAGTATGTTCGTAACAAAAAAAGTGAAAAGTTACGGTTCCAACCCCACTATCACAATACCTGTCGGCGCGTGTAAGGGGAACGTATGCGGAGTGGCGAGTGGCGGGAAGCTGGCCATCCTGAGCCGAGGTCCAGAAGATCGATTTATCGAATTGCCTCAATCGATAGATATCACTATTAAGATAGGGTGAAGATGGAGATGATTCGATAAGGACTGAAGAGTCGATAGCCGGGGCAACTGGGACGGTGGCGGTGCGCACAGTAGATCGAGTCAGTCAGTGAGGTCGAACATGAAATTTTCGATTAAAACTGCAAATTTTAACGTTTATTTCGTCACATTTTACATTTTAAGGGGTGCTTCAAGAAGCAAATTTCACGAGAAAACCAATGAAACCACTCTCAGAACCTCAAAGTTTTATGCGAACGGAGTTATAAGCGTTTAAAGTTTCCAAATTTTGTCCGACCTCCCCCGTTGACGCTATCCATCGTGCGGCGTGCGGGTTCGGCGGCGGCGCACAGTGGATCGGGCGATAGGAGAGGTCGGACAAAATTTGGAAACGTTAAACGCTCATAACTCCGTTTAGACAAATTTTTGAGGTTCTGAGAGTGGTTTCATTGGTTTCCTCGTGTAATTTGCTTCTTGAAGCACCCCTTAAAATTTAAATTTGACGAAATGGACATCAAAATTTGCAGTTTTCGTGAAAAATTTGATGTGCGACCTCTCTGGTTGACTGGGTCCACTGTGCGGCGGCGGCGCGGTCCTCATTCCTAACCAGTCGTTCCCCGATTAGTCTTGGCCCGGACTTCCTCCGCACCGCCGCGCCGCGGCGCCCCCTCCCGGGGTTCCCTTCCGCGTTCCAGCATTCCACCGCGGTCCCCCCCGGCCCCCCGGGCACCGGGCGAGCCCCCTCCGTGTCCTCGACTTTGAGCTCGGATCAAGGACTGCCCCGACACTGGGTCAGTAGTGGCGTGTCCTCGCCGTCCGTCGCGCTGTGTCCGTGGTGCCCGCTCTTCCCGTGTCCGCTCCTGTTCCCTGTGCCTTGGCCCGCGCCTAGCGCCTCTCCCGAACATGTTTCCTCGTACTGTTATTTTGGTGAGTCCACTTCAGAATCTCATCCCCCCCGCCTCCCCGCTGTCACCTCGCGGCGTCCTTTGCGTCGCGAGGGTTTTTCCCGCTGCTCTGCCGGGATAGCTTGCACTTTTGCGGCTTTGCGCGTGGGAAATTGCGCGGCACACTTTCGACCCGCGCACGCTCGGGTATGGAGGGTACCCGAGACGCAGTCTACCCGGGAGGACTCGCGGTCTTGACCGCAGAGAAAGAACCCCGGTCAATTTGCGCTCGTCACAGTGAGAAAAAAGCAGCATGTTCCTTCTTTCCTCCTCGAAATGTTACGTGGAAAATAACGCGCACGATGAGAGGGATTTAAATCATATAATTTCATTATGGCATCATTTGTATGATTCGTGCTCCATTTGATCAGTGTCGTCACAGTCAAAAAAAAGCAACATGTTCCTTCTTTCCTCCTCAAAATGTTACGTGGAAAATAACGCGCACGATGAGAGGGATTTAAATCATGTAATTTCATTATGGCATCATTTGTATGATTCGTGCTCCATTTGATCAGTGTCGTCACAGTCAGGAAAAAGCAACATGTTCCCCCTCTTTCCTCCTCGAAATGTTACGTAGAAAATGACGCGCACGATGAGAAGGATTTAAATCGTATAATTTCATTATGGCATCATTTGTATGATTCGTGCTCCATTTGATCAGTGTCAAGTGTACGTATGAAATATTACGGGAGGAAAGTGACTTGATGCATGCAGTATAATTGAATTACATTCAGCAATAAGGAACCAGCCATAAGAGCCATGATAGCGATCTATGGCTCTTCTATTTAGGCACATTTCTGCAGAAAGAATCCAATGATATATATATTTTCCCTGAAATGACTCAAAGATAATGGCTCCTTATCGCAAAATGTAGTCCAATCAATATGTTCAAAGGTGCCAAGAGGAAATTTTCCTCGGTTAAGGATCAAAATATACTATTATCAAGCAGAAAGTCGCTTGTATGAAGCGATTCTATTTTTCTATGTAAGAGGAGAGCCCCTTGACAGGAAATAAAGTCTTTTTTTTGCATCTCGCTTAGAGGAAGATATAAACGTCCCGTGGTGTGAATTGCTTTCTGCGTAATATTTTTGGAAGCAGAGGCGGATTTAGCAATTTGGCAACACTGGATTTCCTCCAATTAAACCTATGATAAATAATCGATTCTTGTCGGAGCACCTGGCCCCTCCGAGAATTGATGCATTTCATAGGTTTAAATGGAGAAAAGGCAATGTTGCAAATTTGCTGGACCCGCCAATGTTTGGAAGGAAAAACGTGACGCGGTGTTTCAATTGGACCACATTTTGCAATTTGGACCTATAGATTCTAGCCCGGTTTAAAAACAACGTATGTGCCATTAGTTTTCCTATGCACATAAGTGTTTTTCGAGAAGAGCCAAAATTTATAGTTCCAAATTGCAAAATGCAGTCCAATTTATACTTTGTCTAGTGTCCATCGGTCTTGGAACATCAGGAATCCTATTTCAATGGCTTTTTCTTTTGGCCCCACACGAGATTTTCAATGCAAAGCAAGAGTCCAAAAAGTTCAGCTACTGCACAGGAGAGTGAAAGATTGAAGTGCGAAGACAGTACAAATTTTTAGTTTTAGTGAGGAGTCGTGGAGGGAGCAAAGTTGTGAAGTGGTCGTGAAAGTATGCTGCGCGAACGTAATGTGATGTTATCGCGCAAATTTTCCATTTAAAATGATTCAATTCGTTTAGCTTTCAGTGTGCAAATTCTTTCTATCTTTCTTTTTTTCTTTCTTTTTTAAAAAAAATATATGTTTTTACCAAACAGTCGATCCGAGGTAGTTTACCTAGAGTAAGGCTATATTTAGTTCTCTACTACGAGGTGAATTCATTTTTTCCTGATTTTGGTCCTTCTTTTATTGATCCCTTGAAATTATAAAACTAGAAAAAGTGACGTTTTCGAGCATCCAAAGATCGCAATTGAAATCCTGCGTAGGTGCGCCAAAGAACAGAGAACGCTTTTTTGTGCTTTCTTTCTGCTGAAGATGTTGAAATATTGGAGGGAGTTTTGCGTTGAATTGAAAATAATACAGAAGATTGAAGAATTGTCGACTTATGTTCTTTTATGCACTAGCCGATAAAAAAAGCGCCAAATCATAATTTTTTAGAATTAATGTTGCTACGTACAATACCTGCTTGGAGAGAAAATAGTGCATCGTGAAACACTTTCAAACTTAGCTAGAAGTTTTAAGGTCACTATAGTCCCAAGTCCGTTTAGTCATTAATCCTATGATTATCCTGGGCATTACTACGACCAAAAATAGACCATATCCTACTCAAAATTTCTCAAAACTCAGTATATCCTTACAATCGCAGCAACATGCAGCTTTAATTACTTACTTGAATTATACGTATCTCGCTTTACTTTAACTGAACCTACGGTAGTGATTCTTGAAAAATTTTCCACCGTCAAATCTCCTGATGGATTTCACCGACGAATATGCGTTGACTTGAACATAGAATGCATTTAACGTGACCTCTTATTGCAATTCTGCCATGCTAAGGAAAAACGCCGTATGGGCCTTCAGGCGTTGCTAAATCCCTGGCAAATCACTAATTTTTAGGAACATTTTTGAATATTTGTCTACCAATTTCTCGGATAGTTTTGTTTGTAATTTTATCTAAACTGTCTGAAAATTTCAAGAAAAAATATTCATAATTTTCCTCAAAAATGAACAATTTATGGGAGGAAATTTGGCAACTCTCGAATGTTCATACGGCGTTCTTCCTTAGCACGGCAGAGTTGTCCACTGGTCGATTCATAAACAATGAGGGAAGTCTAAAAGATGAGCGGCGAAAATGAGAAAATTTTAGCTCCGTTGTCAAAAAGTGAGAGAACTAAAAACTAGAAATTTATTTCGTATTTTTGGCCCTTAATTTCGAAAAAATTAAAGGACCTAACTCTTAACTCCGCCGCTAATAGGGCAATCACTTCTTCGCGCGCGAGAGAACCCTCCAAGTACTCGCTTTCATTTTCTTTGGGATTTGGAATCAGAATCTAGAGTCTAACTGGATACGGGGAGAATTTGCGTTTGATTTTATCCTGGAATCTTTCCTAAGTCAGGCGCTGTTCATTGAATGAAAAAAGCAGGCGCGGTGGTCCGTGTTTTGGCAGCTTAGCCGATTTTGCACATTAATTTGAATGCTTCAAGAAGTGAGGGTCTTTTTTTCCCCTCGCATACCGAGGGTTTAACCTGAATTCTTGGCTCGTATGATTTGGGGGATCGTAGATTGGCCGTGCATAAATTAAACCCCGAAGTCTAATATTAGCAAAGGAATGGAAAGTCTAATGTGAGGATGTCTTCCGATCCCGCCTTAAATGCATTGTTGCCGGTGCGATTAGAAATCATCTTATTAAAGGCTATCTAAGGCCCCATTAAACAGTTATTACCCTAGGCTGGGACCTCAGGTCCATTAGTTACCCTTAGATTAGTCAATAAATCATAAGTAAAATTTCTTAATACTGTTATGTAGGAGAATTATAAATAAAAGTTAAAAAAAAGAAAATCAAACACGATGCTACAGGGACCATGAATGCACTGAGATGATGAAATCCGTTTAGCAGGAAGGAATTAAAGTGCGTGAGATTGATGACCTTTTTCATCGCGAGTGGCTCGCAGAATTTTACTTCGCTCTTTAATGTTAAGTATCTAATGATAAGTAGGATCATTTAATCGCGAAGAGCAAGAATATTACACCAGAGTGGAAATTCTATCTCCACTGATGAAACACTTTGCCATGTTCACTCGGACATAATTTTAAATGCCTTTCCATACTAGTCTCATTTGCATTGCATCTCTCACTGCAAAACATTTTTCTTGAGATATTATTCTGACTTTACTGTCGACAATTTTTTTTTTGGGGGGGGGAAGGGGTTAAAGAAACGTTTTGTTATCGTTTCTTTACTTTAAACTTAAGGATAAAAAATAGTTTTTTTAACTAAAAAGAATGACTTTAAAAGCAATACTGCAAGGAGTTAACTAAAAAAAATTGTTGGCGAGAAACGACGCGTTAAATCAAAATAATATTTAAAGAAGAAAATTTGTCAGTGAGGGGCGACACTAGGAAAAAAAACACATTGGATCTAGAGTCCAGACTCTTGAAAACATTGACAAGAAAAAACACTCTTGATTTAATCAGATTTATCCTTAAATCAAAAGGAAATCCGTTCAAATTAAGAGGCTTGGTTCTTAATTTAAGCTTAAATTTGATTGAATCAAGAGTATTTTTTCTTGTCGATGTTTTTAAGAGTCTGGACTCTAGATCCAATGTGTTCTTTTTTCCAGTGAAGGCATTGACCTTCTGTGATAAATATCTGAGTCGGCGCATACCGTTATTGTACATACTGTGACGAATTTCAAAATACTACGCAACTTGAAAACCCTGCGTTGATATGACCACTTGGTGGCCAAGTTCAAGGTGAGCGGAGCGGGCCGGACGCCAGTTCAAAGCGGAGGTGGTACTTGGCACTCTTGGCAACTGATCATTTTACGGTGACGAAAGTGCAACTGCAGGCGCCCCGCACCCTCCCCCTCTCGCTTTAAACCGTCGTGTTTGTTTGGCACCGCGCACAAAATATTGCGCTTTTGACCGCATACTCTCACGAGTGAATATTTGGCAGATTAACGGAGCGATTTAGTGGCTGACACTAGGTGGTTCCGACCAAAACAAAAACAAACTCTCAACCCCGTTGTCACTGTTTCACAGGCGCACATAGAGGCCTTTGTCAAGTATCTCGACTAATACTACCCGCAATTTCGAGTTTCAAAATTTCTTACGCTCAGCAGTGTTGCTCTCACTTTCTCCTTGATAGCTGTTGAACCGAGTGCCGGACAAGTTTACGAAGCAACGTCTTATGAGTTGAGTGAAAAGGTGATTTTAAGAGTAGCTAGCTAGGTAAAGCCCTGAGAGTAAAGGTTTTCGTCTATCTCCATGAGGCTATCATTGAGGGTTTGGTT